CAGGCTAGATCGTTAATCGACATCCGACTCTGTTATTATAAAAATATATCTTAGTATGCACCCGCAGTCATCCTTACCTCTTTTAAAGTAGCGCCGACGACGGTCTAGGGCCAGCCCACAGTCGTTTCCTTTTCACCCCCCCGTTACCAAAGCAGATGGTGCTCGTGGTTGTGGAGCCCCGTTAAGACAAAAAGTTCATACAAACTTAAGTTTGCAAATTCTTCGTTCTCAACTTACGGGGTGGAATTAAAAAAAATGTTTGTTGTAAATATCGTCTGTCGAAATGATACATTCTTAATCATCACCCTGTATACGTAACAAAATTACTAGCGGAACAGCGAGCGCTTAGTCTCTTACTTTCGATGGTCTGATAAAATTCAACCGACATCGAGTAGGGTCTTCATAGATTGTAAAACTTGTTTGTTCACCAGCAGAATGACCTTGAAAGAACATTTCCTGGTTAATTTTTATTCTTAGTCTTGATTAGACACGCACGTTTTTAATCGGACTGGTTTCGTTACTTTGCTTGGCGGCTAGGCATTACGTAATTTTTGTATACAAACAAATTCTAATTGATGCAAAAAGACGCCTGGGATTCATGGTCTAGTTCGTTTGGTTTTCGTAACCTCAAATTTGTGGCGTACTCATCAGGTTTATCAGAGGCAGATACCCAAGAACTTCCCATCAAAGCCTTTAAAATACCAAGTTGCTCAATACAAATTTTCCATTTTCGTATCTATGTACAGGGTTCGTCCGGAAAGTAATTGGAGAATGGCTTCCGTGACGCCTTCAATGCTTGTAAATCGCGCTGGCAGCGCTGCATCGACGCAGAAGGAGCCTGTTTTGAAAGTTTTTAAAGAATCGTAACGATTGGCTCAAGAATTTTTTTTAAATCGACTCGGTCCTATTACTTTCTGGACAAACCCTGTATAGCGTCATTTTTTACCGGGAGGCACTTGGCAACAATGCGTCATAACGGACGCAATCGACAGTAAGTGAAGGGTCTTCGAACTTCCAGGAAGCTGTTACGTCAATTTACATAAGGACAAAGTGTGTCATTAACCATCAGCATCGATTCTATGCTAATGCCACTTTACATATTACGGCGGTCACACAGTTTTTGGTGTGAAGCTATAATAAGGCGTTGCTAGTTTGCGTTTTGGAGATAGTAGCTATCTTACACTCTGAAATTTGTGTGACGGCTGAATTCAATGTGGGTACAGACACGTAACGTATGTCAACACAACAAACACAAAATAATATCGAGTTGCCTTTGGAAACAAAAGTTTGCGCTCTGCGGACCAGATGGTCTTCTTCGTGTTCCTCTACCTTCTTCTATCCACACACGACACACACGCATTACGGTCATTGTACAATTAACACGGCGGCCAATTCCGCGATAGGACAAACCATCTCAATAGGCGATAAATATACCCCTGTCAATGTCGCTAACATGGTGATTATTTGGACGACTTCTAACTCGAGGCGTTATGTGATGCTTAATACTAGTACATGAAAGAGCAATAACTAAAAATATTTGTATTACTCGGCTCGGAGAAACTGATTTTTTCACAAAAACTAAGAGAGCATTTTAACAAAGGTAAAACGTTGACATTGCACACAGCAAGCTTTAAATATACAGGGTGGCGTATAGACAACGAAACAGACGCATTTACTGGCAGCTCAGTGTTTTTTTTGGAAAAACGCTCAGACGCAAGTTTGGCAAAAAATCACGTTACCACGTGCAGCCCCCTGGGCGTGGGTGACACCAACCCTAAAATCTTAAATGGAAAGGGGGGTCGAGTGATACCTTATTTTAAAGGCCTTTCAATTCCCTGTATAATGATGTAAAATACATGAGCTTCTGTTTAGTAGTTTCGAAGATTTATTAACTTAAAGCTTAAAGTAGACTGTAATAAGTACATCAGATTAGTTTGTACTACTTTCAGACGAAATTTGACTAAGAGAATTTACTTGATAAGTAAATGCTTTTCTTCACTACGCCCATGGCTTGTTTATCATTTTGTTATTGAAAATAGCTATCGGAACGTTTTTTGTGGCAAAAAAGTTATTTTTTGAAGAAAGATAAGGAAATATCTCGTACTTATTTTAAATAGGAATTTAGTATATAGTTTGCGATTGATTTGACCGAACTTGTAACACTTTATTACATAAATTAACCATGGTATATTCCACAGCAGAAAGAGTTGAAATTACCGAAATATTTTTCGAAAACGATTTTGATCGGCGATTACAATTTTGTGAAGATAATAATAATAATAATAATAATAATAATATGCCTTTATATTAACTGGCGGGTGTATCAGCTAATAGCTGCTTTTGGTACCAACCAGGGCTACATAAGTTTAACAAAAAAAAAAAAAATAATGATCAAGACATATAGTACTGAAAAGTGACAAATACAACATAATAGTGTGTAAAATGTGTAGACAGATTTAAATCACATACACTCACGCACTCACTGAAACAGAAATAATGAAAAAAAAAACCACAACCAGACACTTAATGTAGAATCACATCAGTTACAAGATGAAAGCTTAGTATAGAATTAGGTATTATCGAGAACAAATTGCTTTATTTTAACTTTAAAATTATTGTTACTCAAACTTTTCAGATCTTATGATAGACAATTATACTTCGAAGTTCAAAAGAAATGTTTTTTTCCTTTAACATTTTTCTGGTAAAATTAAAGTAACAAAGTTATAGCCCTTTAGAAGTTTGAGTACCGCCCTGTCTCAATAATAATATTATGTGCTCGTGTTTGGCAACAACGGATATAATCCGCCTTATCCGTTCATCGCATCGGAAACAAAAAAGCGAAGGAATTTGAAACGATGTTTTTACTACAATGTACAATCTTATTCAGTTGTATTCAGTCGATGTGTCAGTCGGTAACGCGTGAGTGAATAGTGGTGTCTGTTGCGTGGCTCAAACGAAATAAAAAATGGCACATGTTTACGAAAATGCTGAATGTAGTACAAAGGGCTCGTGAATCAGATGACTTAAGACCTCACAGGGGAGGGCATGCCGGTGCTCCAAGAGCGCACGATCAAATACAGGTCCGCACTGAAATACTTGTCGAGAGGATACTTTATAAAACAAGGTAAAAATTTTTTTTTATTTTATACACATACGCATGACCAGTAAAATACTACAACCACCTATAAAACGGATCAGCGATGTTGCACTGCTGTTCAGTGTCGTATACGTTGTGATGTCGACACAAAAGATACCCGCTCGTTTCATATTCATGGTCGTTATTTCCGCCTTTTCATCGTCGAAGCTCAATGTGCATACGGAAAAGGAAATATGTAATGGAAAAATAAGAGCTACCTTTCAGGTTGATTTGGGAGGAAATCGAGGCGAGCTCGAGCTTTAGATCGGATTCCAAATGGAAATGTTTTATGGAGGATATATGAGGAAGGGAGAGACACATTCATTGATGTATTTATTCAAGGGGTAGAAGTCTGAAAGTCTTCAAGAGTGACAAATATTTGTAAATCCTTAAAATTTCGCAGGGAGTATTGTCAGATGGCCGCGTTAGGCCGCGGTTATATTCCTTAATTCTCGGATGACAATTTTTTGTGCCGCGGTCATTCAGATCTAGGATGTCCCGTTGGCCATGATCATGAATATAAAAGTATTATGGCTTGAAATCCATGCAATACAGTAGAACAAAGGAAATACTCAGTGATTGCTCACGTATAGCACAGTAACACTGTAATTAGGTTCACATGATTTTTGGAAGCGAAAGGTTACGCTGTGAACAAGTGCCCTGAAGAATGGAATGGGAAAATGTGTTTGAAATATTTCGTATGCCTACAATTGCCTACCGATTTCATCTTTTTGTAAATGGATCGTCGCCTGCCCCGTGAAGATCGTCGCCTACGAACCGCGATGTCGGAGTGTAATCGCGGCCTTCCGCTCTGCCTGGCTGGGAGATTTGTCTCCATTTAAATAAGTTGCAGACACATGTGCACGCCACATGTTGCAGACCGTACAAAAATAGAAGACTATCGGAAATGCATCCAAAACGAAATGCGGATTTTCACGGTAGAACGAAATGAATCATCGGCGAAACGGTATAAATAGAACTCTAAATTACGTATGCGTTTAATTACTGTTTCGGTCGATCATAGCTTGCCAATTAAAAATCGCGGATGAATCATTTATTTTGGACGCACTGGATCCGATCGGATTATAATTGGGATGTGCATCTAAAGTATTGCCAGAATCTGGCAAAGCGTGTATCGATCGCACGCTATTAAAATGGTGGAGTGGAATAAAAAATGACATCAAGTAGATTGACCCTATACTTCCTACGTCTTCGTTGGAGTGTTCAAAGAAAAGACATGAGTCAAATCGTAACACGATCTCTTGACTATCTATCTATCTATCTAAAGTTGCGCTGCTGTATGATACCACATACACTTCACCTCAGATGAAATAGTCGATACATTTCTAACTTGGATCTACATATGTATGTAACGTTTAATAAGGCATCCAGATATTCAATCTCGGGACTGACAAGCAGTTCCATTCAATATGCACGTGTTCTCCTGCCTAAATATATTATCTCGGAGTTTGTCAAACGCATCTGCGCGCATTGAAATACACGTGATATAGCCCAGGCAAAGCAGGGTGATGCATTGTGCCTGATGAGAAAATTAAACGAACAATTTGGTGAGTGCGGGATTTGTGAATCAATCTTGATTAACATAAATATAGTATGGTATTCTTATAGTGCGCATTTTTTAGATATATTTGTTCTATTAGGCACATCACTTTTTTTGAGTAGGCTTTTACTTTCAAAAGTGACTTTTCATATAGTGTTGATTCACATATTTTTTTGTTTCCTATTTATCTTTTCTTCTTTTAACTTCTATTCACTCTGGATGCCGATGAATATCCTGACGAACAAAACTTCATTCCTCCAAATATTCCATTAATTTCACTGGGCTACGCGTTTTTTTTGACAGGTGTTACCATCCGGTCTACCACAAGGTTCAACGTCTGCTACAGTATACCCAAAGCATCTCCAACCAATACTAAATACTCGCTGTGCAGTGACCTTGACTTACCGCAGCTTCAATTTCTTCAACGTCTGATTAGTTTTTTGGTCGAAAAAATGATGGGAACTAACATTCGAGCAGACATTGAACGGCATGCTGAGTAAAAGTGATTTCGTAATCGATTATCACCGCTTTTGATGTTCAAGACGAGATGAAACTAGAACACTTCATCATCTGTAGTGATTTGCAGTTTTTCGGAGGTTTACTTTCATTCATAATGTTATGTCCAACGATGAATTTTTTATTTTCATTATCATTATCGTTATCGTTATCGTCATCGTCATCGTCATCATCATCGTCATCGTTATCGTCATCGTCTTGTATTTTTTAAGGGTCTAAGGTCAGGATAGCTTTAATCTAAACTTCGCCCTCAACAAAAGACGTTTATTATTATTTCTTTCAGTGGCAGGTTTTATTTTTATCGTTTCCAACTGTTTCACCAACTGTCACTGTTTAATTATTCGCGAATAAAGTTCAAGGTACTTATAGCAAAATGTCGGATGATCTAGTGATTATTTCGTTATCGTTATCGTTATCGTCATCGGCATCGTCATCGTCATCGTCATCGTCATCGTCATCGTCATCGTCTTGTATTTTTTAAGGGTCAAAGGGCAGGATAGCTTTAATCTAAACTTCGCCGTCAACAAAAGACGTTTATTATTATTTCTTTCAGTGGCAGGTTTTATTTTTATCGTTTCCAACTGTTTCACCAACTGTCACTGTTTAATTATTCGCGAATAAAGTTCAAGGTACTTATAGCAAAATGTCGGATGACCTAGTGATTATTTCGTTATCGTTATCGTTATCGTTATCGTCATCGTCATCGTCATCGCCATCGTCATCGTCATCGTCATCGTCTTGTATTTTTTAAGGGTCAAAGGGCAGGATAGCTTTAATCTAAACTTCGCCCTCAACAAAAGACGTTTATTCTTATTTGTTTCAGTGGCAGGTTTTATTTTTATCGTTTCCAACTGTTTCACCAACTGTCACTGTTTAATTATTCGCGAATAAAGTTCAAGGTACTTATAGCAAAATGTCGGATGACCTAGTGATTATTTCGTTATCGTTATCGTTATCGTCATCGTCATCGTCATCGCCATCGTCATCGTCATCGTCATCGTCTTGTATTTTTTAAGGGTCAAAGGGCAGGATAGCTTTAATCTAAACTTCGCCCTCAACAAAAGACGTATATTATTATTTCTTTCAGTGGCAGCTTTTATTTTTATCGTTTCCAACTGTTTCACCAACTGTCACTGTTTAATTATTCGCGAATAAAGTTCAAGGTACTTATAGCAAAATGTCAGATGATCTAGTGATTATTTCGTTATCGTTATCGTCATCGTCATCGTCATCGTCATCGTCTTGTATTTTTTAAGGGTCAAAGGGCAGGATAGCTTTAATCTAAACTTCGCCCTCAACAAAAGACGTTTATTATTATTTGTTTCAGTGGCAGGTTTTATTTTTATCGTTTCCAACTGTTTCACCAACTGTCACTGTTTAATTATTCGCGAATAAAGTTCAAGGTACTTATAGCAAAATGTCGGATGACCTAGTGATTATTTCGTTATCGTTATCGTTATCGTCATCGTCATCGTCATCGCCATCGTCATCGTCATCGTCTTGTATTTTTTAAGGGTCAAAGGGCAGGATAGCTTTAATCTAAACTTCGCCCTCAACAAAAGACGTTTATTATTATTTGTTTCAGTGGCAGGTTTTATTTTTATCGTTTCCAACTGTTTCACCAACTGTCACTGTTTAATTATTCGCGAATAAAGTTCAAGGTACTTATAGCAAAATGTCGGATGACCTAGTGATTATTTCGTTATCGTTATCGTTATCGTCATCGTCATCGTCTTGTATTTTTTAAGGGTCAAAGGGCAGGATAGCTTTAATCTAAACTTCGCCCTCAACAAAAGACGTTTATTATTATTTCTTTCAGAGGCAGGTTTTATTTTTATCGTTTCCAACTGCTTCACCAACTGTCACTGTTTAATTATTCGCGAATAAAGTTCAAGGTACTTATAGCAAAATGTCAGATGATCTAGTGATTATTTCGTTATCGTTATCGTCATCGGCATCGTCATCGTCATCGCCATCGCCATCGTCATCGTCATCGTCATCGTCATCGTCTTGTATTTTTTAAGGGTCAAAGGGCAGGATAGCTTTAATCTAAACTTCGCCGTCAACAAAAGACGTTTATTATTATTTCTTTCAGTGGCAGGTTTTATTTTTATCGTTTCCAACTGTTTCACCAACTGTCACTGTTTAATTATTCGCGAATAAAGTTCAACGTACTTATAGCAAAATGTCGGATGACCTAGTGATTATTTCGTTATCGTAATCGTTATCGTCATCGTCATCGTCATCGTCATCGCCATCGTCATCGTCATCGTCATCGTCTTGTATTTTTTAAGGGTCAAAGGGCAGGATAGCTTTAATCTAAACTTCGCCCTCAATAAAAGACGTTTATTATTATTTGTTTCAGTGGCAGGTTTTATTTTTATCGTTTCCAACTGTTTCACCAACTGTCACTGTTTAATTATTCGCGAATAAAGTTCAAGGTACTTATAGCAAAATGTCGGATGACCTAGTGATTATTTCGTTATCGTTATCGTCATCGTCATCGTCATCGTCATCGTCTTGTATTTTTTAAGCGTCAAAGGGCAGGATAGCTTTAATCTAAACTTCGCCCTCAACAAAAGACGTTTATTATTATTTCTTTCAGTGGCAGGTTTTATTTTTATCGTTTCCAACTGTTTCACCAACTGTCACTGTTTAATTATTCGCGAATAAAGTTCAAGGTACTTATAGCAAAATGTCGGATGACCTAGTGATTATTTCGTTATCGTTATCGTCATCGTCATGGTCATCGTCATCGTCATCGTCATCGTCTTGTATTTTTTAAGGGTCAAAGGGCAGGATAGCTTTAATCTAAACTTCGCCCTCAACAAAAGACGTTTATTATTATTTCTTTCAGTGGTAGGTTTTATTTTTAACGTTTCCAACTGTTTCACCAACTGTCACCGTTTAATTATTCGCGAATAAAGTTTAAGGTATTTATAGCAAAATGTCGGATGACCTAGTGATTATTTTATGTTTTATAATGGCAGCAGCAATTGTCGATTTTCTTTGATGCCAGAAATTGCGAGCATTCCTCAACATCCGCAGCACTTGGAAAACGTTTAAAAAATAGGGGCAAATCGCGACACAAGCCGAGTCAAACGAAAAGTCGACCGTTTTACAACGGAAAGCGATTTATCAACGTTCAGGCTAACGTGATTTTCGTATTAAAAATAACCTGAAAGCATTTCCCTTAGATTCCGCATTTATCGAATTTCAATTTGGTACGCCCACGTCTCTGATTATTGGGTCATGTTTGTTATACGCACGCATAATGGAATATAAATAAATAGCCTAAATTTAAAAATGGCGTCTAGTAGGCTGACGCCGCCATCAGTTTATAAAGAGATAAGTTCAGTAGTAGTTAAACCTGAGAAAAAAATTAATTACGAGAAACAAAACGGACCAAGTCCCGCTCGGATATTGATGAAATTTTAGCACAATGTCACTACTATGCCAAGAACGAAAAAGCTTTGAAGTTTTTGAAAATCAGTTCAGTGGCGGCGCTTCGTTTTTTTTGACGTTTCATGATTTGTGTGCCACCAGCACTCATGCTTGTTAAACTATGACTAAGCAACGTGTTTTTGCGATTTTTTTCGGAAAAATTAGAAGCCCTTATGATATTTCTTATGAAAAAATGACTAATATGATGTGATTATTGATTTAAACATTGGATTTTACTTTACGCTTAAATACATTATATTAAATATTCGAAATAATTGAATCGTACCATTCATACGTGTATTCCACAAACATCAAAAACCATTACACATCGATCTCTGTTTTTCTTGGGACCAAAATCCTATAACTTCATACCAGAGTCATTAAAAGTAGTTAAATCAAAAAGATCATTTAAAAAAGAACGAAATTGTAGATATGAAAAATCATTATGAAAATCAATAATCTTTTACTTACACTAACATCCGTACTTTTACTTTAGTTATAATTGTCTGGATATTTTTCCTGACATCACCATAATAATCCAATTCACCAAATTATACAGTATTTAGTTTTTTTTCAAACACAAGTGCAATCTTTTTTGGGTGCTTTATGTTTATTGGGCACAATATTTAATATTTACCTGTATTTTGTCACAATAAACATTATATTATTATTATTATCATAAAACAAGTCCTTGATTGCATGACAAATAAACTGATATACATGATATGCAATTTCTTGATGCCATTTTTAGTTCTTGTTGAATTTTCTTACGATCCAGTACAAGTTCCTTTCTTTCTCTGTCCCTCTTGCAACGAACACAAAAAAGGGGTCACCAAATTATATTTCTGTTTCGCCCCCATAACTCTAATGTATTTTTAACCCATAAAGCATTAGTTTTCGATTATGCAAAACGAAAATATTCCATTGGGAACACCAAGTAACCTTGGTCTAGTATCCCGATCCATCCGATCGTGAACTTTTGCCAAGCGTCTGTTTACCGCACAAATATAAATACAAGAATATCATTTTTAATACATAATTTTTGGCAGTCATAACGATGACGATACGAATATAACGTTTCTGCCGATTTTAATTTTGTTGTGGTTCGGAATAGTAATGGATGCGAAAAGCGCTTTTTCTAATAAGCCTTTGTGAATACGGCGTAAAGTTAAATTTAGAAGTCTTAAATCATGTGTTTTTTTTCGTGTGTACTCCAAACCCACGTTTTACCACGACACTGACTTATGATTCGACCTAGAGCGTTGCCAAGGTTTTTCTTAAAGGTGTCGTTGCAGGGACTCCCTGATCTGGCATTCCTATATAAGCCTGTGTCACGTATTATGTCCTAAAACGCTCTAACAGAAAATGAAATCAGCTGATGCGCTACCGAGCAGACGCAGAAACCACATTGATTGTCTTACACTCAATGGCACATCTTCTAACAAGGAAGGCAAAATGTCGCGTAAAAAGTC